TATGAGTTTCACTTTTATCCTAATAGACGTATTTGTTTATTGATATATATTCAATGTAATTTTTAAAATCTATGTTATCTTTTAGCTTATAACTTTAAAAATTATTTTAGCTTTCTTGGGAGGCTGAGGTGGAAGGATCGCTTCAGGCCAGGAGTTCAAGACCAGCCTGAGAAATATAGTGAGATCCCATCTCTACAAAAAAATCAAAAAATTAGCTGGATGTGGTGGTATGTGCCTATAGTCCAGTTACTCAGGAGGCTGAACCATAAGGATTGCTTAAGCCCAGGAGTTTGAGGTTGCAGTGAGCTATGATAATGCCACTGCACTCCAACATAGATGACCAAAAACCAAAAAACAAATTTTATTTTAGCTTTCATTTTCCTTTTTAATGGGGTACTTATATAAGAATCTGTATAAGTCAGTCAGTTTGCCAGCAAGAAACAGCAGATGGCATACTCAAATTGAAAAATTTTCAGAAGAATGTAGAAAGGGAATATTTACATTGACGTAGGCAGACTTTAAGAAGAGTCAACACAAGATGGTGTGATAGCCATACCACCCCTAAAGTTGAAGAGGAGAGAACTGTCTGAAGAGGGCTGCCTAACAAGATCTGTGGCCTTTGTTAAAGAAAAAATGATTCAGTAACACTTGTTAAAGTATGGTAAGGAAGGCCTTATTCTGGACCATCACAATAGGTATGTTATGATGGTCCTGAATGAAGGACGATGGTATAGGTCCCTTGGATACCCATGGATAGGAATAGGGCCAATGCAATGGGATTTTGCAGTGGGAAAGAGAAACTGGGCTCAACTCTGCATACAGCATGGGCAAGTGGGAATTTATAGCCAAAGAGCAGGATAGGAGTGAGTGGATAGAAAATTATAATACAAAGAGGAAACATAAGGTAAGGGGGATTCTGGTTAACAGGGTTCTTGCTGAACACAGGCCAGGGTGATCAGATATCACCTGGGGGATGGTGGAGGATGAGGAACCCAATCACATATGAAGAGTGATCAGACATGGAAAGTGGGGAGTTCTTGCCAAACTGACTTACCAAGGTTCTTTCCTAAAACAATTTTACAAGGAAGTGTACAGATGGACCTAGGAAAAGGTTCAGAAGCCTAAAGTTTGGTCAAGCAAAAAAATCTTTGTCACCTTCAGTAGAAAGACACAGCCATCCCATGGCAATCTGGTGGGGAGGAAGCCTAGGAAATAAATACCCTGAACTCACTCTCCTCCCACATCCAGATCCGCTGGTGCCTCCCATTGGCCAAACCCAGCTGGAAGCAGGAGTGTACCAGAGCTCATTGAATCAGTCCCTATGGATCAGCTAATGAGGGCACAAAATAGGATATAGAAAGGTAGGGAGTGATCTGAAAGGGCAAATGGAAGATATCCAGCCTAGGTGGTTTCCTGGGAGATGAGCCCATATCCCAAACAAGGGTAAAAGGATTTTTTTTCTCTCCCCAAATGGCTATATTATATCTCTCTGGCACTCCCCCCTCAGTATATTTGACCCTAGTTGAATCCCTCATCCCTTAATCACTCCATTAGGAAAGGCAACTGGCTTTATGCTAGAAACCACTGACTTGTCTGTCAGGAGCTCAGCTAAGCTGAGAAAGAGAGCTGAGCTGCCAGGTGTCATAGTAAATGATTAAAACAACAACCCAAAATGAAAGGGTTAAGCCTTTGATCACTTTCTGTAATAGTAAAAAGAGTCTAAACTGGGCAAAGTGCCTGTTCCCCTTGTTCAATTTCCCCCATGGGAACTTCGTACTGGTTGAAAGTCAGAGATCAGTACAGATATAGGGGTCCTCCCACTGTTGAAGGAGACCTGAACAAAAGCCTCTGGTAGTTTTATGAAACCTGGGGTTGCAGGGAGGCCAAGGAGAGGGAAGTCCAGGACTAGAAAAGTACTGAGTACTGAGTCAGAGTAGGGAAAAATGTCTTCAAAGTTTCTTTCCACCTCCCTCCATAAGAAGGTCTTGGCAGAGAGCCTGAAGAGGACTTAGCCCAAGGTTTCAGATAAAGAGACCTACGAATAAAGGTGCCAGGGCTAAGAACACAAATATTCCAAGATCATGACCCGCCAGGTGGCCTGAATCCTGACTGCAACTCTCTTTTGAAACTGCAGTGCATTGGCTGTGTACCAAGTCTGGTGTGGGAAGGCTAGCATTTCCTCTATGAGCCCTGCCAAGCTGAACCTTCATAATTGCCTATGTCAGGCCTGAGAAAAATCACATATAAGTTTTTAGCCAGGAGTCAGACTCCTCACCGGTTACTCAGGAAAAAAATGCAAGTCAAAATTTCCTTCTAACAGAACAATCCTAGTTAAAAGCTCAAGAAAATTGCTGAAACAATGCTGTTACCTTATATGTAGAACAATCCAATCTTTGCTTAAGGAAAAACATGACCTTAAATCCATTGTCCCTGACCTATATAAATATCTGACATTTTTTTTATTTGTAGAGGCAGCTCAAAATATAAATCTGGAAAGATAGCATGTGGGAAATCTTGCCCTGGATGAACACCTCAATATATCCTCTCATATTTAATTTTTGAGTATAATCAAATAATTCTAAATGTTTTATAAGGAATCATGACAGAGGATTTATCATTAATATTAGAATTCCTTTTATATCTACTGTGCCCTTAATAATTCCAACCAAAATGACTCATTTCCCCTCAAAACAGAATTTCAAAAGAATGCCCTTACTGTGAAAATCTTCTCAATTCTTTTACTTTTTCATGATAATAAAGAAGTTATTTAAATCATATATTATCTAAAATGAGATCCTAGGACTCAGAGTGCTCTAATTTAGCTATAACACCTATTTCCTCATTCTTACTAGCTGATATTCAAATGGAATCACTTCAAGGTAACAAATAATAGAGATACAATATATTAAACAGAATAAAGGTAAATTCCAAGAAAGATAATATAATAACTATAATTTATAAATTGAGTGCTATAGGAAAGGGAAAGTAAAAGTAAGAAAAGGACCCCCATAATATGCTGAAATTAAAAAAAAGTAAGAAAAGGAAAAACTAATTTCATAGTGATGAATTAAGAGATATTGCTGGCCGGGCGCGGTGGCTCACGCCTGTAATCCTAGCTCTTGGGAGGCCGAGGCGGGCGGATTGCTCAAGGTCAGGAGTTCAAAACCAGCCTGAGCAAGAGCGAGACCCTGTCTCTACTAAAAATAGAAAGAAATTAATTGGCCAACTAATATATATATAAAAAATTAGCCGGGCATGGTGGCACATGCCTGTAGTCCCAGCTACTTAGGAGGCTAAGGCAGAAGGATCGCTTGAGCCCAGGAGTTTGAGGTTGCTGTGAGCTAGGCTGACGCCACGGCACTCACTCTAGCCTGGGCAACAAAGCGAGACTCTGTCTCAAAAAAATAAAAAATAAAAAAATAAAAATGTATTAATAGAAATCTTGCAATATATAATTTTAATGCAGAGAAGTTTGATAGGATCAATACAAGATTGTCAAGTATAAAATTATTTTACATTATGACAAAATTCTCTGTGGGGAAAGTGAATTGGAAATATGAGTTCAAGGAGAAAAAGGAACACTCTAAATCTCTACCTGTTAAAAAAGGAGCTTATTCATGTACTTTTTAAATTGAATAATGGTAAGTATGAAATCATCATGTATTTAGATTCCACTGGATTATGTTTTAAGGAGTGATGTTACAGTTTTATTTTTAAATCTTGATATTTAAAATATGCTGCAATAGCAAAATATCTTAAAGGTGAAAAAAATAAAAAGAAAATAAAAATTTTCTAAAAAAAATAAATAAATAAAATAAAATATACTGCAAGTTATATCCTTAGCAACTACTTGCACTTGGAATTACAAAATCTAGATATTGACTAAAATGTATAAAGACATACATATTTTTTTTAGATTCTTTTAGGGAATACCTGAGAAGAAATGCTTGAACCCTACTAAGCTATACCTATAGTATGATTTGTTCTCATTTCTTTCTTGAGTCGTTTTCTTATTTTCTTACCTAGATTGCAAGTTCTCTTTGAGTAAGAATTATGTTCAATATTTTGTGTTTTCCCCCAGTGACCTGGGGAGAAGAGCATGGTAAGCAAAGTAAGCAGCTATGGAGCTAAGCAAGGTAGAAGTTGATTTAAGCAGTCTTTGTACTCTGGCAGTATTGTAGCTTGTGCTCATAGATGTTACGTGCATTGCAGATATTGCTCAATTCTGCTCTTTGGTCAGGAAGGTGTCCCCATCCCAAATATGGTTCCTTCCCCCTCCCCCCCCACCTGCTAGTGATGTGTGGAATTCCTTCAAATAATGTCACAAATCTTTAGTCCACATTTACCAAAATGCACATATCCTTAGGAGAGGTAACATTGACCTGGAATCAGATTAAACTAGATCACGTCTTAAGAGCAAGTTTTTATAAAGGAGGGTGATGAGAACCAAGAGGTCACTTGTCTGGGGTTTACATGTTGTCTCCTTAAGCTGACTGCAGACTAAGCCAAGTAGCTCTTTTTTATTGAAGTTATCCTGAGGATTGGATTAGGTGTAGGACCTTATCCATTCTCAAATGACCAACCATATCAACATTTCCGGGAAAACACCATTCTTAAATAGAAAAGCTCTTGGTGCGTAAACTGACTGAGAAATGAAGATAATGTCTAAGGTTAATCCCATTTGGCCTCCAGTTTACAGTTCACCCCAAAGTAAAACTAAGTAGTCACAACCGGACCTTCCTTTGTGTGAATGAATGAGTTAAAACACTTCCTTTCTTGTTTCTGTTAACCTAACATAATCAAAATTTTTCTTCCTCCGTTGTAGGGAATATTTTTAGTGCAGTGCCTAGAACACAATAGGCACTCAATAGATATTGATCAAATAAATTTTCAGGAAGGGAAGAAACTCCTGAGGAATTATTCATAATGAATTTAGACTGCCAATTAATCTGAAACCTAGTCTCTAAAAATTTGTATTTCTAATTCATTTTTCTCTGCAGCAAGTAAAAGGGAACTTTGCTAGATTGCAGGCCTGCATCTCAGAGCTCCGCATGTTACAGAGAGAAGGTTGTTTCAGACCACAAGGCACTTCTCTGAAGCTGGCAGTAGTGGATGGGCTCCAGCAGTTCAAACAATACAGCAGACATATGACCACAGGTGCAGCTCTGACCTACACTTCCCTAGAGGTAAGAGATGCTAGCCTTTAGGACTCCAAACCATCTTCTCATTTCAGGCAGTCTAGGTGCTTCATTGTTTAACATCCTTACATTGTTCATCATCCTTACATTGTTCTCTGTTTGATATACATTGAATGTCATTTTCAAGGCTAGATTTTCTTCAGCTCTCTGCAGGCAGAGGACATATTTCTTTTTTTCCTATAACCTGTACAATTCTTAATATAGACATAGGCATAAAGAGGAGCACTAAAAATATGGAATGAAGTAAATTATAAGGAAAAACTGAAATTGAAGTAAAATATGCCATCTGCCTCTAGATCTTTGGAACTTGTAAAGCACACGTTGAACTGCCTATATTGGTATTATACTTACCTAGGTACACTTAGGAATTCGTAATTGTTCTTAATCAAATCTTGGCACCAAATTGAGTAAATCTTCTTAGGATTAACAAATATAAAAATTGCTACTATTCTGCTACCAGACTGAGACAATCTTAAAAATATAAATAAGTCATGGCTGGATACTCCATTGGGTATATGAGTGAGTGTGAGTTAAAACCGTTTCAATTATTATAACCTCAAGGATCAAACAAATGAGTTAAAAAATAATTGTGTGGGATTTCTGGTTTCCAGTTCTGCATATAAGGAGTTTGAAAGTCACCATTCCATTTGATTCCAACAACTAGTCAAAAGCTGAACAAACTAAAAAATGAACATAGATCCTAAGAGAAGTTAGGTCATAGGGCAAATTGCTGCCTCCAAACTTGGAGAAACATCAGACAGACACAGAGAATCACAAGAGACACTGGAGCAGAAACCTCCACTTGACCCAGTAATGGAATAGGAAAACCTGAACTGTAATTGACAAATTGCTGGAGGCTAGGTATGGAGAAGTCTGAGAGTTAAAACTCCAGGGAGACATAGTCATAGAAGGGCCTCCACCACTTTTATAAGTTTTACCACCAGGAACTCACTCACAGTAAATATCAGGGAAAACTTACCTCATGTCCCTAACAGGGAGGAAAAAGGAAACCATTTGAAATGTACCAGAGTATTCTGTTTTTAACAAGTTCTGCCCTCAGGAGAAACTAGTTAAATAGAGCCTAACCTGCTAGAGTTTTAACAGAGCCTAACTGACCTGGGAGAAGGGAAATACCAAACTCCGGCTAGCTGTAACCTTCCACGTAGCAGAAGAGAAATACTCAACTCCACCCCACACTAGCTATCCTGTCCCACTCAAGGGGATGGAGGGGGTCCTGAGAAACACTTGTGAAATTCACAGTCCAGAGGCATAGGTTAACTAAAATACAAAGATCTTATCATAGAACTATAAAATGCTTCCCCTCTCCCTATTCCTTACCACCACATTACTAAAGGCCTACTTAACAGCAGTTCCTTTAGCCTAATACATCATGTTCAACTATCAAGAAGAAATTATAAGGCATCCTAAAAGGCAAAATAAAAACACAGTTTGAAGAGACAGAGCAAGCATCAGAACTAAACATGGCAGGGATGTTGGAATTATCAGACAATAGAATTTAAAACAACCATGACCGGCTGGTCCGATGGTAGTGGGTTATCAGAACTTATTAACATTAGTGTCACTAAAGTTGGTATTCAACCCCCCACTGCTAAATTTGACTAGCTTTTAAAAAAACATTATATAAACTAACTAAATAAATAAATAAAATAAAACAACCATGACTGATATGCTGAGGGCTCTAATGGATAAAGTAGACAGCATGCAAGAACTGATAGGCAATGTAAGCAGGTGAAAATGCTAAGAAAGAACCAAAAAGAAATGTTAGAGATCAAAAACATGGTAATAGATATGAAGAATGTCTGTGATGGGCTTATTAGTAGACTTATCGTGGCTAAAGAAAGAATCTCTGAGCTTAAGGACATACCAATAGAAACCTCCAAACATGAAAAGCTTAAACCAAAATACAAAACCAGAATATAATATCCAAGAACTGTGGGACAACTGCAAAAGATATGACTTACAAGTAATGGCAATACCAGAAGGAAAAGAAAGAAAGGAACAGAAGAAATATTTGAAACAATAATAAGTGATAATTTCCTAAGGTTTGAAATTAAGGTCAGACACCAGACCACAGATCCAGTAAGCTCAGATAACACCATTAAACAGCATGCTTCTGAACAACCAGTGGGTCAATTAAGAAATTAAAAAATAAATTTAAAAATTTCTTGAAACATGGCCAGGCGTGGTGGCTCACGCCTATAATCCTAGCACTCTGGGAGGCCGAGGTGGCCGGATTGCTTGAGGTCAGGAGTTCGAAACCAGCCTAAGCAAAAGCGAGACCCCATCTCTACTAAAAATAAAAAGAAATTAATTGACCAACTAATATATAGAGAAAAAATTAGCCGGGCATGGTGGCGCATGCTTGTAGTCCTAGCTACTCGGGAGGCTGAGGCAGAAGGATTGCTTGAAACCAGGAGATTGAGGTTGCTGTGAGCTAGGCCGATGCCACGGCACTCACTCTAACTTGGGCAACAAAGCGAGACTCTGTCTCAAAAAAAAAAAAAATTTCTTGAGACAAATGAAAATACAACATACCCAAACTTATGGGATACAGCAAAAGCAGTTCTAAGGGAGAAGTTTATTGCAATAAACTTCATCAAAAAAGTAGAAAGGTCTCAAATAAACATCCTAACATTACATTCAAAGAAATGTAATGTTAGAAAAATAAGAACAAGCTAAACCCAAAATTAATAGAAGTTGAAATAATAAAGATTAGAGCAGAAATAAAGACTAAAAAAATACAAAAGATAAAAAAAAACACAGAATTGGTTTTTTGAAAAGATAAACAAAATCAACAAACCTTTAGCTTGACTACGAAAAAAAGGGAGATGACTCAAATAAATAAAATCAGAGATGAAAAAGGAGACATCAGAGCCAATACTACAGAGATAGAAAGAATCAAATAGGAAAGCTTAGAAGAAATGAATAAATTCCTAGACATATACAACTTACCAATATTTAATCATGAAGAAATAGAAAACCTGAATAGACCAATAGCAAGTAATAAGATTGAACCAGTAGTAAACAACTCAGGACCTGATGGAGTTGCTGCTAAATTCTACCAAACATTTAAAGAACTAATACCAATTCTTCTCAAACTGTTCCATAAATTGAAGTGGAAGGAATCTTCCAAACTCATTTTATGAGGCCAGCATTACACTGATACCAAAACCAGGCAAAGACACAACAACAACAAAAAAACAAAACTATAGGTCAATATCCTTGATGGACATAGATGTAAAAATTCTTAACAAAATATTAGCAAACCAAATCCAACAGCACATCAAAAAGGTCTTCACCATGATCAAGTGGGATTCATCCCAGGAATGCAAAGATGGTTCAACATACAGAAATCTAAACTTATTACATTACATTAACAGAATGAAGGACAAAAACCATATGATCATCTCACTGCATGCAGAAAAATCATTTGATAAAATTTAACATCCCCTCATGATAAAAACTCTAAGAAAATTAAGTATAGAAGGAACATGCCTTAACATATGAAGGCCATAGTTGACAAACCCACAGCTAATGTCATACTGAACAGAGAAAAGTTGAAAGCTTTTACTCTAAAATCTAGCACGAGTGTGAGCTTCACCTCTTCTATTCAATGTAATCCTCGAAATGCTAGCCAGAGCAGTTAAACAAGAGGAAGAATAAAGGGCATCGAACTTGGAAAGGAAGAAGTCAGATTGTCCCTGTTTGCAGACATGATCTTATATATAGAAAACTCTATAGACTCCACCAAGAAACTGTTAGAATAAACAAATTCAGTAAAGTTGCAGAATACAAAATCAACATACAAAAATCAGTAGCATTTCTAAACTCCAACAGCAAACTATCTGAAAAAGAAATCAAGACAGTAATCCCATATACAATAGCTACCAAAAACCTAGGAATAAATTTAATCAAGAAGATGAAAGATCTCTATAATGAAAACTATAAAACATTGATGAAAGACATTGAAGTGGATAGTAATAAATGTGTTCATGGATTGGAGTAATTAATATTGTTAAAATATCCATACTACCCAAAGTGATCTACAGATTTAATGCAATCCCTATCAAAATACCAATGACATTTTTCACAGAAATAGAAAAAGCAATGCTAAAATTCATATAGAACCACAAATTACCCCAAATAACCAAAAAAAATCTTGAGCAAAAAGAACAAAGGTGGAGGTATCACACTACCTGACTTTAAAATATGCTACAAAGTAGTAGTAACCAAAACAGCATGGTACTGGCATAAAAACAGACACATAGACCAGAATAGAGAACCCAGAAATAAATCCACACATTTACAGGCAACTGATTTTTGACAAAGGTGCTAGGAACATACATTGTAGAATGGACAGTGTCTTCAATAAATAGTGTTGGGAAAAGTGAATATCCTTATGCAGAAGAACGAAACTAGACCCCTACCTCTCTCCACTTACAAAAATCAACTCAAAATGAATTAAAGACTTAAACATAAGACGTGAAACTATGAAAACTAGAAGAAAACATAGGGTAAACACTTCATGATATCAGCTTTAGCAAGAATTTTTCGAATAAAACATTAAAAGCACAGGCCGCAAAAGCATAAAGACAGATTCCATAGATAAATGGAATTACATTAAACTTAGAAGCTTTTGCACAGCAAAGGAAGCAATGAACAGAGTGAAGAGATAACATACAAAGTGGGAGAAAATATTCACAAACTGTACATCTGACAAAGGGTTAATATCATAATATATAAGGAACTTAAACCACTCACTAGCAAAAAAAAATCCAATTTTAAAATGGGCAAAAAATCTGAATAGACATTTCTCAGAAGAAGACATATAAACAGCTAACATGTATATGAAAAATGTTCAACATCACTAATCATCAGGGAAATGCAAATCAAAACCACAATGAGATATTACCTCACCCCAGTTAGAATGGCTATTATCAAAAAGACAAAAAATAACAAATGATGATGAGAATGTGGAGAAAAGGGAACTCTTACACACTGTTGGTGGGAATGTAAATTAGTATAGCCATATGGACAAGAGTATGAAAGTTCATCAGAAAATTAAAAATAGAATTACCTTGAGATCCAACAATCCCACTACTGGGTATATATCCAAATGAAATTAAATCAGTAAGTCAAAAATATAATGTACACTTACATGTTCATTGCAGCATTCACAATAGCCAAAATATGGAATCAACCTAAGTGTCTATCAACAGATGAATGGATTTTTAGGCTGGGCGTGGTGGCTCACGCCAGTAATCCTAGCACTCTGGAAGGCTGAGGCAGGTGGATTGTTTGAACTCAGGAGTTCGAGACCAGCCTGAGCAAGAGCAAGACACTGTCTCTACTAAAAAAAAATAGAAAGAAATTAGCCAGACAACTAAAAATATGTATATAAAATATTAGCCAGGCATGGTGGTACATGCCTGTATTCCCAGCTATTCGGGAGGCTGAGGCAGAAGGATTGCTTGAGCCCAGGAGTTTGAGGTTGCTGTAAGCTAGGCTGACGCCACAGCACTCTAGCCTGGGCAACACAGTGAGACTCTGTCTCGAAAAAAATAAAATAAAAAAGTTGATTGCACAGAAGTAGTAGAATAATGGTTACTGGAGCCTGGGGAGAGTGGTGGGGGGGGGTTGATGAGGAGAGGTTGGTCAACAGGTACAAAACTATAATTAGATAGGAGGAATAAGTTCTCATGTTCTATTGGACAGTAGGGTGACTATAGTTAACAATAATGTATATTTCAAAATAGCTAAAAGAGAGAATTTTTGAATGTTCTTACCACAAAGAAATGACAAGTACCTGAGGTGATAGATATGCCTATTATCCTGATTTGATCATTATACAATGTATACAAAATATCAGACTGTATCTCATAATTATGTATAACTATGATGTGTCAATTAAAAATAAAATGAAACTTTTTAAAATGGACCAAAGCCCTTAACAGACACCTGAGCAAAGAAAGTATATGGATAGCAAACATCTGAAAAGATGCCCATACCATATGTCATCAGGGAAATGCAAATTAAAACAATTAATACCACTGCATACCTATTAAAATGGCTAAAATCCAGAACACGGATAACACCAATGCTGGTGAGGTTGTGGAGCAACAGGAACTCTCATTCATTGCTGGTGGGAATGCAAAATGGTAAAGCTGCTTTGGAGGACAGTTTGAAGTTTTCTTATAAAACCAAACTTACTTTTACCAGACAGTCCAGCAATCATGTTTCTTAGTATTTACCCAAAGGAGCTGAAAACCTATGTCCACATAAAAACCTTCACAGAAATGTGTATAGTGGCTTTATCAATAATTGCAAAAACCTGAAATTAACGAAGATGTCCTTCAGTAGGTGAATAAATAGATAGATAAACTGTAGTACATGCAGACAATGGGATGTTATTAGTGCTAGAAAGAAATGAGCTATCAAGCCACAAAAAGACCTGGAGGAAGCTTAAATACATATTACTAAGTGAAATAAGCCAGTCTGAAAAGGCTAATTCTGTATAACTCCAATTTTATGACATTCTGGAAAAGGCAAAACTCCGGAGACAGTAAAAGAATCAATATGCCAGGAGTTATGTGGGAGGGAGGGATGAATAGACAGAGCACAGAGGATTTTTTAGGGCAGTGAAAATGTTTTGTGTTATATTATACTGATGGATACATGTCATCATACTTCTGTTCAAACTCACAGAGTGTACCATCAAAAGGAAACCCTAACGTAATCTATGGACTTTGTCTGATTATGATATGTCAATAGAGATTCATCAATTGCAACAAATCTACCACTTTGGTGGAATATATTGATAATGGGGGAGGCTATGTATATGTGTGGGCAAGGGGTATATGGGATATCACAATACCTTCCTTTTAACTTTGTTTTGAACTTAAATCTGCTTTAAAAAATAGTCTTTTAAAATAATAATTGTGCTTTCATCTGCATCCTTCTTTATCAATCAAAAACATATAAGTGCAAGAAAAATTGCATATATTTAAGAGTTTCAAAGTCTAAGAGAAAACTGCTAATAGAAACATAGTGTGTTCATTCTGATGGAATAAAACACTCAAATTATATACAAATACCTCAATATCCCATCGGGTCAGATATATTGATCAAAAGTAAGTACATTTTAGACTCAAAAGAGCAAAAGAAATAGTGCAACTGGATCCAGCTTGAACAAGAAGAGAAATCTGAGTTAAATCCTCTTGGCATTAACCATGATAGTCACCACCACAGACTTCTGCTGTGTTTATCCTCCAGATATAAACTGTTATGTTCCTCACTCTATACATCAGGGAGAATAAACCCATTGATACTTGGATTTATTTTCAGATTACTGTTCTGACTTCTCAGTCTGGGAAAGAGGTGGTCAGACAATTGGAGGAAGGGTTGAAAGATACAGACCTAGTCAGAGTCAGGAGGCTTCAGGTTGTTGAAGTCACAAAGGGAATCCTAGAGCATATGGACTCAGCATCTCCTGTTGAAGATCCCAGCAATGATGGTAAGAATATTTTTTTAACAAGGTAAAAAGAATGGTAAGAATTTTAATGAGTCATCTTTTATAGGTCGGAAAGATTATTTTCTACAGTCTTTTTATATTCTTAAATAGTGAAGCCAGCAGATTTCACTGCAGTTCAGACATATGTTTCTAGGTATTGGAATTGAATTTTTTAAACAATTATTTTATTTCAGAAATAATAATGCAAACTGAAATATTATAGGTATAAAAAGTAAAAATTCCTTTTCATAATCACTTTAAAGAGATTGGGGTATCCTTGCTAACATTCCTGTATATATATATGTATACATACACACACACACTTAATATTTTAATGGGATTATGATATACCTAATATTCTGAAAACTTTTTTGTTAATGTATATTAAATGTCTGCCATTTTTAATGGCTACATGGTTTTTTATTGTGTGGTTATACCATAGTTTATTTCTTTAATCACTTATTAATGAGCAATTTGATTTATTACATTTTGCTATTACAACTAATGCTATATGAACAGACTTATATGCCAGGGCTGACTTAATGAGCTAATGACCAGTGTAGTCACACAGAGTCCTTAGTGCAGAAAGGCCCCATGCTTGGGATTTAAAGCTCTTTGGTTACTGTCTTAAAATTCTTAATAATTTTACCTCTGAATTTGTGTTTTGTAAGTGAAGTTTGAAGGAATAGTGGAGCATGAGCCAGGAGCTGAGAACCTTGGCTTACACATGCCCTGCCTTTTGCCTCCTTCCCACCTCCCCAGAATGGGAGCTCACTCATGTGCCAGCTCACCAGCCACCCAGTGACCACTGCTGGCCTCTGCTCCCCTGCTGGGCAGGAGCCTGGACACCTGGGTCAAGGTCAGCATACATACCTTTTGTGCTGACTTGCAGGAGGAGGGCCCCAGGCACCTGTGAGGGTTCTCACTAGCTTGGCAGTTATCCTGGTGCCTAAGGGAGTGTGACATTAATAGAAAATAAAAGAAAAACACTACAACACAATGAAAATGATGAATAAGTTCTAGAGATCTGGTGTACAACATTATCCCTAAAGTTAACAATACTGCACTATACACTTAAAAATGTGTTAAGAGAGTAGATCTCATGTTGTGTTCTTACCACAATTTTTAAAAAAAGAAAACACACACACAGAGAAACCCCACCATGATAACTCAAGAAAGAAACCATGGAAAAAAGGAAAAAGTTTTATATTTTAGCACATGTAATGGTATTTTTTCCCTGCTTTTTGAACAAGGGGCTCTGCATTTTCATTTTGCTCTAGACCCACAAATTATATAGCCTTCCCTGTTTGTGTGCATAATCATGTGTTTGCACAAGTATTTTCAGTAGAATCAATTCCTAGAAGTAAAGTTAATAGGAGGTAAGACAATATATACACCCTTTGATAGTCATTACCAAAAACCTCTCCAAAAAGATCATACCATTTATACTTCCACCAATAGTAAGTGAGACTTTCCTACTAGGAATTATCCTTGTTTGTTTGTTTGTTTTATCTTTGCTAATACAATGGGAAAAATTGTTTTTGAAATTAAGACTTTTATTCTTTTCTTTTTTTTTTTGAGATAGTCTTGCTTTGTTGCCCAGGCTAGAGTGAGTGCCGTGGCATCAGCCTAGCTCACAGCAACCTCAAACTCTTGGACTCATGCAATCCTTCTGCCTCAGCCTCCCGAGTAGCTGGGACTACAGGCATGCGCCACCATGCCCGGCTAATTTTTTCTATATATATTAGTTGGCCAATTAATTTCTTTCTATATATAGTAGAGACGGGGTCTCACTCTTGCTCAGGCTGGTTTCAAACTCCTGACCTCAAGCAATCTGCCCGCCTTGGCCTCTCAGAGTGCTAGGATTACAGGCATGAGCCACTGCACCTGGCCAAGACTTTTATTCTTGAATTACCTCCTAAGATTACTTCAGAGAAAAACTATGGAGTGATACTACATAGTGGTCTTTCCCCTTGTTCCATTCACCCTATTGACAGGGATTTATTTTTTCATTTAATTATTTTTAAATTTTATTTTTACTCTATTTAGTTGACTGACATTTTCCTTGATATTTACATTCTGAAAAATATTCGTATTTACCATAAACAAATTAAAAATGCAATCGCCCGTAATCCCATACTTCCTAGAAGAAGAATTATTCAAACTTTATTTTAGAGGACAAGCAGGAATTAGCCAAGCACAGGAAGATGAAGTGGATTCTCAAAGAGGAGACCCAGGCCAGGCTCAGCGGCTCACACCTGTAATCCCAGCACTTTGGGAGGCTGAGGCAGGATGATCACTGGAGGTCAGGTTTCAAGGACCAGCCTGAGCAACAAAGACTTTTATTTTTTAAAAAAATTAGCTGGTTATGGTGGCATGAGCCTGTAGTCCTAGCTTCTCAGGAGACTGAGGCAAGAAGATCGCTTGAGCCCAGGAGTTGGAGGTTGCAGTAATCTATGATTATCCCACTGCATTCCAGCATGAGCAACAGAGTAAAACCCTGTCTCAAAAAAAAAAAAAGAGACCCAGAGATATGAAAAAGCAAGATACAATCAACCTTCAGAGAAGTACCCATAGTTCTCTATACCAGAGCGTCTCAGGCAGAGGTGGGAGCCAGGCTGTAAAGGTAGACAAGGGTTAGATGAGAAGGGCCATCTATGGCATGCTAAAACTTTTGGATTTCATTCTAAGGCAATGGAAATTTATGAAAATATTTTAGTCAGAAAGTCAGTAGAGATTCCCAAATTATGACGTTTAAGATTCTTGAAGATCTTTCCATATAAATACATAGAGATCTAATTCATTAAAGAAAGAGTTTCTCAACCAGTTTTAATTTATCCAACACTCAAGTTATGATTCACTCTCCTCCAGTCCTTTCTGGCTATATTGGCCTCTTCCAAGGTTATACACAGGGGAGGTGCCCAGTGTTCTGATACCATTGATCTCTTCCTGGTTCCATGTTGATAACTTCACTCTTTCTCCCCCTCCCCCCCTGCCTCCCCTCCCCCTTTAATTAGGTGGGAGGGTTGGTAACTAAGGGTGCGGTTCCTGTTGGATTCTGACACTTGTGGACAAAGCTATACACGTTGTTACCAGCCTTAGCCATGTGATTTGTGGGCTCTCACTTACTGGGCACATTCTGCTTTCCTCAAGCCAGTCTCTTCACTGACTGTCGTTTCTTTTCATCCCTCCATTTGTAGTAGTCTTTTCCTCTGAATTTCCTTTCCTTTCCCCTCAATTTCTTCCTTTGTGTTCTTCCAGCCAAGGAATCCTCCCCATTCCTTAATTTATGTTAATTACTACTGTGTTGATTTTCCTCTCTTTAGAACAACTACATCACTTGTGGTCTGCACCACATAATTTAGCATTTAATTGTGTACTATGTAGAATTGTTCACCATTGCTTTATTGTGCAATAATTTTGTCTCCTCACCTAAATTGTAAACTGCTTGATATCTTTTCCCTTGCATTAAACTGTAAGCACCTTGAGATTAGAAACTCTTCTTACTCATTTCTGTGTCAGTGTATATCTTAGATTATCAGTGGGCTGTTTGTGGTCTGCCTATCATCCCCTATATCCCCTCTGTCTGGTAATACCTCCAACTTCCTGGTCACAGAATGGGCCCTGGCTGAGGCAATCATAGTTCCCCAGGCCACCAGTTAGAGCCCTTCCCATTGGGTTTTCAAAATGAATGTGTGATAGAGAAGCTCTTTTTCTTTCTCTTTGGCTGAGAATAGCTCAGGCATGGACTGTGTTCTTTTCTACCTTCAGTGCCTATGCTTAGAAAGAACGTATTGTGTCTCTAATGGCACAGATCTTAGAGTGCTCTGAGGCTACCTGATAAAAGAGCTTTTAAAGGCAGGAAAGCAGCTTTATATAATACCTTGTATCAGTGCTGCTGACTCTTCCAGTGACTTCCTGTTTGCTTCTAAATAATGCATCATCCCATAAATTGCTTGTAATTCCTCTTTGCGGGTTAAGTGTATATGGCTCGTTGCTGGAAGTCATCGAAGTTCGCCTGTATTTTCCTCATAATTAATTCCTTTATTCACTTAGTGTTTTGCTTCATCTTGGTGTTGTTATCAAGACATTAGCAATGATAACACACAGGACTCCTATCCTCAAGGAACTTAAAAATCTTAAAGGCCTCAGGACACAACCACAATATTGCAAAGTAGTGTATGCTACTCCACATGGGTGGTATCAGCTTAGAGGCTAACAGGCCAGGAGGAAGCCTGTGTTCTTTGGTCCGGTGAGTAGCATCATGAAAATGATGCTTTGGGCAGATGAAGCGGAAGAGAGTCTAAAGGCGAAGAGAACAAGGAGGCACGATTGCCAACCAACAAATACAGCACAAGATTTATTAATCAATAAAATGTTTTACCATGTACTAGATGTGAGGAGTACACTAGAGTGTAAGATATGTGCTTCTGAGGAGCTTAACAATTTAGTTTGAGAGACAAACACCATACACAAGTAGCAGAACCCACAGAATCTGCTGCTAAAATACCTGGCACTGGTAAGTGTAACAGCTGTACGTAGGAAGAGAGCAGCAGCTTCTAGCATCCACTTAGGAGGGCGGCAAGGCAACTGAGGCATTAAAGCTAGTGCCACTCCCAGGATACCTGAGGCAAGAAGACAGGACAGACAGCACGGTACCTGGCCAAAACAGTCTCAAAAGGCCTAATAGTACCCTTGTTTGGGCCTGTCTCCACTTAGCATTTTCATGCCCCTCTCTCTTTCAGCTTTGTCTGCTGAGGTCCAACCAGGCCCACCTCTGTCCTGTGGCTTTGCCTTCCTTCCTAAGAGTCTCAAACTTGAACTCCTGTAAGCTATTCCAACTGCCTATAGCACCATATAGCGGGAAGGGGGCTGTCATCTTGTCTTTAAATGTTCTCAGATAAACTTCACAAAACAGGGTTTAAGTGATATATTTTTATTATATTAAGGTTAAATCAAAAGGAAATGTTTCAGCCAGGCATGGTGGCTCACGCCTGTAATCC